GGGAGGAAGCTTTTGCAGACATTTCTTTCTCTCCTTAAAAAACACAGACTTAGTCACCCTGTATGAGTTGCTGGGTTGTGTTAATGCATGTGCCCATTGTTCTACACGGTTGAACATGCTCTGCAAGCATGGTTCCGAAACCAGATCAACCTGCTTTTTCTTGGTCCCCTCTGCAGTGGTGAGAAAGGTCTGATATGCCTTGGGGTAGAAAATACTGCTACTTTATCTCATTGAAGTTCACAAACCTGATCTTATTTCTAAATTCTAGCATTTTAGACATTGTTTCCTCCTACAACAAAGGACAAATGGTCTGGCAAGAAGTGTTTGATCACAAAGCGCAAGTAAGATGGGAAAATTAGTAAGGTACTCTTGCATAACACCATAACATTGTGTGAGGCTTCCAGAGCAGACTATTAAGTAAATCTGGCTTTGTCTCTTAAGAGTTAAAGCAAAGTCTGCTGATGTTAGCAAATCTCTCCAGCTGTGGGTAATTTCAATCCCTTGAAATTATTATTTGTTGAATATGTAATAGGTGAAACAGGAACACCAGCATTGAAATGCTTTTTAAAGGTGAACAGAGTTAATATAATAGCTTCAAAACATCAGATTAAAGGGTGGGAAATTTTCTGAGTTTTCTGAGGGGTTTTTGGTCTTACTTAACTATGTGTCTGGTCTAGTAACACCAAATGATCAGCACTTAAGAGCTGATAAGATACGGGGTGCATGTAGGAATCTTCTTAAAGCATTAACTGTCTATAGCATAACCTAGGCCTCACTGTAGCTGAGTGTTTAAAACCAGCAAAAAGCTAATCAGCTTTAGACTGCGGAGGTGGGGAGGGGAGGGATGACAAAAGGTAGTTTCCTAAATGTTCCTATTCAAAACAAAATAGAGTTTTGCAGTTCATTATCCTTTTCCTTGGTAACAGCAATTAGGATTGCCATTAGTAGTTTTGGGTTAAGTTGGTTAGTTTGTTTGTCTTTTCCTCTTTTAGCTGAAACCGGACACCGTAGTTCAAGTGTGGATGGCAAATAACTATGCTCGTGAACTGAGCAGGGTCACAGGAGCTGGGTTCACTGCTGTCTTGTCAGCACCGTGGTACCTAGACTACATTAGTTATGGGCAAGACTGGAAGAAATACTACAGTGTTGAACCACTTAAATTCCCTGGTTTGTTACCTTTTTTATATGTGTGTTCTGTGCATGAAACTCCTTGGTTTGTAGTACATTGTAAATGGAAAGAATAGCGCTGTTTAGAGTGGCCATACCATCGGTGTGATTATAGTATCATCAAAGGAATTATGGTCAGCTAGACCTCTGAAAAACTCTTTAAAAAAAAAAAAGGAACTTTTCACTTCTCACAGGGAAAGGTCTTACCTTCCTCAAGCGTCTGATACTGATGTTTGTGTTAAGATAGAATGCTGGACTAGGTGGGCAGATGCTTTAGGAGCAGAGTTGTGCAAAATGGCTGTTTGTAGAAAGACGCTGAATTTATGTTATCAAGCTTCTTGATTGTTAAACTAGTCTAGAAAAAGACATGTTCTCTACCTGTATCTAAAGTTGATACAAACATCTTGTGCTTTCCATGGGGCTTTCATTTTGTGTGAGGGACCTCTCAGACTCTCAGAGCTCATTAAGAATACCTGACTAAGTAATTTTTTCAAGGAATGTTCTGCATGTGATAGAATGAACAGTTTCCATGAGATTTTAAATCTCAAAGGAATGTCAAAAAGCTGAGGAATCTATTCAGAGCATAAAAGGTAAAATCCTTTCTGACAGAGCAGAGAAATTACTTCTCTGGGCAAATGGCTTGGTGGGTCTCCCATTTAGTAACAAGACTACCAAAATGTAAGTTAATGCTCAGGATAGCTCAGGTATTTTATATGAAAACAACTGAACATCAGTCCTATATAATTGTTGATCTATGCCCATCTTCTGGACAGAGAAGAATGCTGACTTTCTGGTTTGAATTCAGGATCTGACGAACAGAAGAAACTTTTAATAGGTGGAGAAGCTTGCTTGTGGGGGGAGTTCGTGGATGCAACTAACCTGACACCAAGATTATGGTATGGACTGCTTTATGATTAGATTTTTAAAAGCATTAATTATTCCCACAGGACTATGCTATTGTGCTGAACCTAAGCAGCTACGAAAAGTAATGCTTCTGGGTATTGAAGTATTATATTAGACCTGGTATTAAAAAAAAAAAGATCCATTGCTGGTTATAGACCGTACCTACTCTAAAACTTAGTATACCTTTATAGGCCTCGAGCAAGTGCTGTTGGGGAAAGACTCTGGAGCAGCAGCAATGTGACCAACTTGCAGGATGCCTACAAAAGGCTAACTAATCATCGATGCCGTATGCTCCGGTAAGATCTAGTAGCTACAGTGTACCTTGGTTTTCAGTTTTGTAACTAGTGGAATAAAGGTACAGGCATGGACTGCTGGCCTGGAGATGAAAGGAAGAGAGCTAGCAGTTTAACCTGACTGTAAATACAATCCCATTTGATTTTGTATCCACAGAGGAGGAAGACAGATGCATTAAGACAGGAGCTCTGGACAGTTTTGCAACTAAAATTTTCAGAACTCACTTTTTTCAGTGAAATACTAGGACTCTGCAGTGTTTCTCTTTCCTGTAAAGCAAAAATGAACACCATGATTGACTTATTTCAGACAAAAAAAAAAGTCCAAGTTTGACTTCACTTTTGAAGTATACAGTCAGAGAGGTAAATAGTTGAACTACAGCAAGCATGAAACATAACATTTTATTTCTCTACAGAAGTTTATGACAACTCATTGAAAACTTCAACTCTGTGGTAGTAGTTCAAGGCAGATACAAATCAAATTTTGAAAGAACAGGATACAACAGCAGTTATAGTCAGCACTTGAAACTCAAGCTCTCTGCTCATGTTCATGAAGATGTCTTAGCATGATTATCTGTTGGAATCACTTTAGTTTAGAGTATATAGTGTATGTTTAGCTTACTGTCACTCTTTAATCAAGAGTGACTGAAGGACTGAAAAGTTTTGACTTGGCTGAGTTACTTAAAGCTGGCTTCAAATAATCATGTAGGAAAATAGCTGTATGTAAGTTGTGCTATCTCCTTCTGTCATGAGAAAAACATACATTAAGAGTGAGTTGATAAATACATGTTAAAAACAATATTAAAGTGATTTCAAAACATGTCCTGTTACTTAGCAGGGTGGTGCATCTCTTGGTGTGGCTCAGGAAAACACTGCTACAACTGAGCAGTTAAGTGTACAGTGGCTGTAACACTAGGATTAGGGTTTTACAGTGAACTAAGCTATGCTGTTCCTGGACCTTGTTGACTCCACTGCTGCAGCTGCATCTTCTCACTTAACACTGGTACTTGTATTGCTGTACAGGGAGCTGGTCCAGGTAACAGCAGCTGCTCTGGTAATGCTGGCATGAGAGATGCAGAATGCAGGGGCAGACTAAGGACTACTCCCTGTACTTGTTGCACAAATTTAGCAACAGAGAGTAGTCAAAGGACAAACTGTTTTGCTGACTTAGGATGAACAATTCCTGTTAGAAAGTAACTACCTTAATAAAATTATACATTGTTCTGAAAATGACTCTTCTTTATACAGGCTCTGAACGAGAAAAACACTAGAGAAACCATTCCCTTTCCACTGATGAAATGAAAATTCCATGGGGCTGCAGCTGTTGTGTTTCATGTATATGAACTACACAATAGCCTTCCTCAAAGAGTTTAGTATCAGGCTGTTGTAGTCTTAGCATGTACACAAGGACTATGCTCCTGCTAATGTTTTTATTCATTGCATATGCACAGACTGTGGCAGTTGTAGGAGGATGGGCCTTTTCCAAGTGAACAAAAATCTCTGGCTTGCTCTGCAGCTGGTTACCAGGGAGCAAGGGGAGGGGGTAGGTAGCACATTGTAACAGCTAGATCCTGGTCACTGGAAGAACTCTATTGAAGATCGAGGCCACTGCTCTTGAAATAGTACTGTGAATGCAGTAGGTACTATGCAGATCCAAACTCAGCTTCTTCTAGGATACAGCAACCCAGATTGCAGAAAATGGTGATGGGAGGAAGGAAACAAGAAGATGGGCATATATTCCAGAGACCCAGACACCAAGCCTTGTCTTTGCTAAGATAGTATGTCTTGCTTAGGGGCAGCAGTCCTTAAGCTGAGCTATTACTCAGTTTCTTCCACTGCACCACTAAACATTAGTAGCAATAGCAGCTATATTTTAAACATTTGAGAAATAGAATATTGTTTACAACTATTTTAATTCTGAAACATGTCTTTTGTACTATCTTACTGCACTATCATAATCCACAGGAGTTGGTTTGTTTCTAATGTCACATGAGCACAAAATAATTTATGATCGTGTAAGCTGAAAGAAACTGACTCCTTCCCCCAAAATAATGAAAATTATGGAAATAGAGCTGCATATGAAGGAAACAGTGAGGCTGGGAGAGGGAAGAATGTGTAAATGTCAGTTGATTTATATTTGCCTTTCTTAGGACTTCTTTTCAATAAAAGCAATAGATTTTGCGGAACATCAAAAGAACTAACCCCTGAATTTAAGCTTTTCAACGTGTCTGCTAATAGCCTGGTGCCTCTGATTGAAACAGAGGTTCAATCAAAAGTACAATCAAAGTAGAATAGGGCCCTTTTTCACTACCTAAATAGGCCATCTGTTGTTTCTTGGGAGTAGTTTTGTTTATATAGTTATTAAAATAGATTGCCAGTATCTCTCTTCCTGCCTATACAAGCAGCCAGTTGTTTGATTATAGTCATACCCATTCCACTTTATTTTAACAGCCGTGGCATAGCGGCCGAACCAGTGTTTGTTGGATACTGTGCCCATGAAGCAAGAGGGCCATAACTGCTGCAAAGACTTCTTGTCAACAGCCTGAAGTGCCTCGGGGATATGAATACGTACGTGTGGTTTCGTATCTGAATCAAGACTTGAAATTTTCACTTTTAAAATAAAATTATTTGACAGCCTTGTTGGAGTAAAAATTATCATTTTTAATCTTTCAAAAGCAGAGATTCTTCACTGTGAAATCGTGAAACTTGATACCATAGAGTTACTAATTCCATACACTCTAAGGCTGAAGAAAATAAAGCTAAGACATTATTTAAACTCAGAACAAACTTATCTTTTTTATTTCAGAGTATCAGTTGCCCCTTTTCTAAGTAACCAGATAATTGCAACCCATAGCAAATCAGAACCATTACAGCTTAATTCACTAATTCCAAAAGGTAAACATTCAAACAACTCCGTTCTCAACATACCACAGGGTAGGTAGGAATTACGTCCTGGAAAAACTGCCTTTCTTGTATTTTGTTTGCACAGATCTTACTTGATTTGCAGAAGTATCCATTTCACTTACTTGCTAAACTCAGGTAGAAATTACACCCAGTCCTGAACTCTGGTTCATAACTGGTTTCTACCAGTAGAAGCAATACCTGTAAGTTGTACAATGTAAAGTGCTTATTAACCATATCCTTTTGTACAGCTGAAAATAAATCAAGATACAGAGTGCCAAAACTGCAAAGTTATTTCAGTGATAAATAAAACTTCCACAAACTTTATTTACTAGATTAGGAAAACAGTCCCAGTGGCACATTAAGGTGGACTTAGTGCTCATTTCTGTGAAGACAATTTGCATCACTTCTCATTACAAATGTCCTCAGGATAAGAATTTGCAAAGCACAATTTGTTGTTGCATCCCTGCTTTGCAATGAAGTTATGCTAGCAGAGGAGAGTCTCTTGAACCTTCCTCCCTGGCCAGTTGAAAGCAGTCTGTTCATAAGCTGCTGACTCATTATTTGCCATCACCAGTTGGTCCCAGACGAACACACTGGCGTACATACGAAAATATTTAACAGGAGGACAGAAAACACTAGAGAGTAAAGATCACACCAACCCCATCCTCCTCTGAAGAAGTGCACTTTGCTCTTGACTGCTCAGGGCTTGATAACTGGCAAGCTCCAATGTGAAGGTTGCTGAGCCCGATGTTAGAGAACGCAAAACTGTTGAGTAGCCCTGGACAAAATGGAGAATATACATCATTCAAGTTAGGATAAGGGGAAGGTAAGTTAGCATAGGAAGCTGTTTGGACCACAGAGACAGAAAAAAAGAGTGTCAGAAGTATACTGCAGTGTACTAGTAAGTTAACTTTCCATTATTACTGTATCAGAATTGCAACACATGCATGAGTCAGTATTTTTTAAAAACTGTTCTCCACAAAACCTATTTTAGTAGAATTTACTAGTTCTCTACCTTACAGCTGAATACATGCTTGTTTAGCAATCTTGGCATGAAAAAGCTGCTCAATTTGTGGACACTTCTGACCTTCAATAACTGAAATACAATTTTAAAAATCCAATCTAAATTTACTTATCCATAACTAAGAAAAAGGAAACTGAAGCCAAATATCTTAAAGCATATAAAAAAGATCCCTTTTATCATTGGTAAGGTAATCACATACCATCATTTCTGCTAGTGGAACAGCAGCGACCACAACTCTGTTATCTTGACGCGACTGGATTTCCTGAATATTACCTCTCCGCTGTGCAAGATCAGCAAGTGCTGCACTGAGATGATCTTCACTTACTGTGATTTCTAGGTTCATCAGGGGCTCCAGTATTTGTATACCAGCTTTTTTCAAAGCCTACATGGAAAGGAAGGAAGTTACACTGAGGTACTCCCCTATGGGCTTTTTGAAATAAAATTGACATAAGTACTTGTATCACTGAAGTTGACTCAAACTCTGTACTTGGAAATACTGTAAATTCCCCAGCAAGGGCATTATGAGGGCATGCAAAGAGGAACAATGATGAGATATTGATGCACGTGTATTTTCCCAGCAGAAGATCATGCTACTGTGTTTACAGCAGGTTTCACTGTACCTTTTGCAAGCAACGGGAGACACAGGCTGATACCATTGCGTGCGAGGTGTCTGGGTGCACTGTCAGTGATTGCACTGTCACATCTATATCTTGAACTGGAAATCCAAGCAGAGGTCCTGGGTAGGGCCATGAAGAAGAGATTAAAAAAAAAAAAAAAAAAACAAAAACACAAGCTCATTTGTTTCCAGAGTATTAAGACACATGCAAAAATTTTTCAGAATTAGCTTGAAGTTTCTCATTTTCCTCTTTGCTCTTTCCTTTCCTCTCCCCAGGGGTGTGGCTACTGGTAATGTTCCTCACTTAAAGGTTTTGTCATTACCTAACTTTACCAAAAGAGACAAAGGAATGCAGACTCCTACTTTCTTACTGTCTTTATAAAAAACACAAACAATTTTCAGAACAAGAAGCTCCTGAATATACTCATCCAGACAAACATTCCCAAAAAGTTATTTTAAATACATTATATTATCTAAAATGAGTTGCTTGAACAAGACATGATTTGGAAAAAGTAGGGAAAATTTTTGTTTAACCACAAGACAGAATATTTTCTGTATTTTCCTTTTGAACACAATATAATCACAGCAATGCCTGATACTAACACATAACCAAAACTCCAGGAGTAATTCAGTTCCATAAAGGATAGTGTCCTAGGCAGATTACCTCCAACCCAGAACTGTCAACTAGACCAAACTGTGTTAGACTAGATATGAGGCCTGAACCACATCTAAGAAAAGAAACATAACTTTGTTTTTAATGGAGAACATGGCCAGGTATTTTTATTTTTTTTAAAGCACATAATGGCATCAATTTTAGGCTGGAGACAGCACAGTTCTAAAGTTTCTTCAAGAAGCATAAAGAAAGCACATGGTTAAGACATTCCACAGCCAAAGATGGGAGATACTTTCAAATTCCACAGAACAAATTTGAAAAATCACTTCATGCTGGTTCTTAAATTCACCTTTGTTAATCCACAACCTACTGATTTTATTGTAAGGCAGGTTTTTGCCCACAAGTTTCTTAAGACTTCTATTTTTAATTAAAAGTCAAGGACACTTTTAATGTATTCAAGGTCACTTTAGTCCTTTAGAAAACACAGACTTTCCAATTCGGTAAAGCTTTTACTGAAAACCCATGGATTTAGCATATTTGAAAACCAAAAAAAAAAAAAGCATTAGTGACAGTAATAGAAGTGTAATACATACTGGCCTATGAAACCATTTCTGTTACATCACTATGGTTTACATGATGTCATGAAGTAAATGCCTTATCTCTTATACCACACTAAAAAATACACCAAAAGAACTCTAAGCTCATTGTTGAGTAACTGAGAAGAGAACAACCTTAAAAGCAAACCATGCAAAGGCATGCTGACTTCCTTTCCAGGCATGGAGAAAAAGATGCTTGGCAATTTTTGTAATAGGAATTTTTGTAGTTTTTGTAATTTTCCTTTGTACCTTACGTATACATTAGTCGTACGTATATGTACTATCTTTTTTTCAAGCTACCAAGCAGTTTTTCTTTCCAGAAAATTGCTCCTTACAAAAATATTAGACCAGTACAGCTGACATAACATTTCCTTTACCTTGAATGCATGAATTTGTGATTCCATTTTCTATAGCTCCTTGGAGTTCTTTGGGCAGTACTTCACTGACATTCTCAGCATAGCTGATGATGGGTTTTGTTGTTGCTCCTTCTCCTGACGTGGGCCTCACCTCTATCTCTGCAGTTACACAGTGTCGTTTATCACCTACTGTTTTGTCTAATATATCTGCAGGGGGAGGGAAAAAATAGTACCTAAAATTCATCTGAAAGCTAGTCATGCATCGTTTAAAGTAAATCAAGCGACAAAACCAGAAACAAGATGTTCCTTGCATTCACTCATTTTACCTGTAGCTTGGGCAGCATTTAAGATGGTTTCTCGGTATGCTATTTGAAGAGGTCCCAAATAAGTCTCAATTCCATATTCACGTTTGATTCGGTCATGAATAATTTCTATGTGTAGTTCTCCCATGCCACAGAGGATAGTCTGTTGAGAAGAGAATTAAGAGAAAAGTGGAAAAACATGCAAAATTTAGGTTTTAATACAAAATCTTTAAGCAATGACTTGCATGCTTCAAATTGTCTCTTAAAAATGCTTCTAATTCTAATGGCCGCAATACTTCAAATTCTAAGGACGCTAGACATTGCTCTAAGTCATCTAATATAAACACCATTTAAGTGAAAGTGTTGTTAACAGTACTGTGCTCATTATAAAAAAGATAATCTTACCTAACCTTAAAGACTACATTATTCAAACCTTTTTAAATACAGAATTGTCAAAAACATGCAGAGCATGGGGTGACTTCCTCTGTTCTGTAAAGCACAAGTACCCAAGGCTCCATTTTAGTTTTCTATGCATATCATAGGAACATTCAGAGTCCTTTTTAATCAAGAAAATCTCAGTATGCAAATGAACTAACTCAAGTGTGGTCCTAATTCTAAAATAATAGTCCTTTTTAATCAAGTAAAAACTCAATATGCAAATGAACTAACTAAAGTGTGGTCTTAATGTTCTAAAATAATGTTATAAGCAAGAGAAGGTTCATCTTACTTGTCCTGTGTCAGGATCTGGCTTCACTTTTAAACTTGGATCTTCACGCTGAAGGCAGCTCAATGCATTATCCAAGTCTGTACAGAAATATCAAACATTTTATCTGAAGCGAATTCAGTAATTTGAAGATCAGAGTAAATGACTAAATATCACTTTCTTCAAAACAAGCAAAAGAATCCTAGAGGAGCATAGATTTTGGCAAAAAAATCAGGTCAAATTACAAATAACCTGCAACTTCTGATTTTATCCTGCAATTAACTGTGCGACAGAGTGCTTGAATTTAATTATTATACATACTATTTTCAGAGTGATATTTTGTGTTTCCATGAAGACAGACTGGAACCTACAAATTATTCATGAAGCCAGTAAATAACTGATAAGAAAAATGTCAACTTTTACATGGTTTACTTAATTACTTCAAGATGAGTTTGACATGAAATTGTCCAAACAAAAATGTACATCTTTTTTTTTTACAGGGTTTTGGAGTTTTTTTCTGATTCCCCATTATCTTAACTGCTGAGGAAAGCAGCAGAATGATGAACCAAGAGCCAAGACTGCATTCATCATACCTTACAGTCTTTGGGGAAAAAAAAAAAAAACAAAAGCAAACAAACAAAAGCAAACTAAAACATCCAAACACCACAAAATCAATAACACCTTATAAGCCAGTGGCTCAGCCTGCAGACTTATTGCTCCAAATCTGTTTTCTACCTTACTCTATTCTGTCACAGTACACTGGTACTTATCCTCCTCTTCACCCCTAAACAAGCTCAGCTTTGTTAGAACAAAGATGCAGAATTTAAAGGGCATTTCCAAAAAGAGTCATATTACCAAGCTGTCTGGTACAGGTACTGTTGGGAAAGACAGTAAGATTACAGGACTGTAATGATGCAAGGATGAACCCTAACTAGACACAGAGAATTCTTGGTATATAAAGACTTCATAGAGCAAAACTGAGTGCCAGCTGAAAAAAACCCCACATTTCAAGGTTATTTGTACTTGGGACACTATGTACAACCCACCACTGTAACGGCAGCAAAACTCAGAGTAAGCACCTCCACCCTTCTATTTCTAACTGAAGAACTAACACTTTTCTAGACACAAAAACTAGAAAAGTAGTAGTACCACTACTGCTTGACACAGTTAATAGCAAAGAATATGGACAATCATGATCTGAAGTATACCCTCAATATAAAAAAAACCACCAGAAATAACTGTACTGGATCACTGTCTGTTAAGTTTGTTCAACTCACTCATCCAATTAGGTGGCTGCATTGTACCTTGCTGTCTGGCCATTGAAGGTGGTTCAATGGTACAGAAGAAAACAGGCTCAGGGATCTCAACACCTGCCAGCAGAAGATTGTCTACACCACTCACAGACCTCTTCTTTTCCCCAGCATCCCTTCCAGCTCGGCGTGCTGCAGCAACAGCTGAAGCCTTTGATGACACTATGGTATCTCCAGTGGCACTCTACAGATCAACACAGGAAGTGACGTGAAAAAAAACCAACCCCAAACTCAAAGTGTATGCCAAAGCTGGTTACATTTTAGAAAATCTGTGTAAATTATATTCATGCAGCCTATACAGACAGTAAGAAATTATTAAACTAATAGAAGCAAGCACAAAACACATTTATTAGAACTTGAAACTGTTGCTTTTGGGTAACTGATTCGGACCATCATTCCCCCTTCCCCACAGGTCTCTTCATGACATTACAGTGTATTTCAAGAGTTATGGTATTAATATGAGCCCAACCCTAACAAAATACTTCAGCTTTCAGTCCTGTCCAATCAGCACTCCAGTTTCCAGGTCAATTACTGATATTTGTAGACCGTGGTATTTAATTTTAGGAGGAAGTATGTCTAAATGTACTTCAAATAAAGAAAGTTTACATATGTCAACATAATCAAGAACATCAGAGATACAGTATCATAGAAATAGAAAGCACACTAGTGAAACAAGCTCCTTTACAGTATCCACATTTTTCATTACCTGTTTTAACCCAACAGTCAGAGCAATGTTGCCAGGCATTAGTGATGGTATTTCAATTTGCTGATCAGCAAAAGGCAGGAGCAGCCGGCTCATTCTCTCCCTGAAAATTAAATTCTCTGTTACTCAGGACTTTAACAGGCATTCCAATACTACATTGAACCACACCTCTATCTTACTCACGTGCAACTTTTGTTAATATTATATACAGCTGACTGAGGTTTCAATGAACCTGAGTAAACACGAACAAAAACTAGTGGTCCACGACATTTATCATGAAGAACTTTGAATGCCAGGGCACACAGGTCATCCTTGTACCACTGTCTGCAAAATAGAAAGCACAACAAAAAGCATACTTGTAGGATTAATCTACTCATACTCAATTTACCTAAATTTTCACTCATTTAAGAGGTGATATGCTTCTTACCGCAATATTAATGGAGGCAGATTTTCAAAAACCGTCATTTGTACTGAAAAACAGCAATCTAAACAGTTCCACCTCCAAGAGAACATGTTATGTAAGATGTTATGTGATTCAGACAATACCAAACAGGATTCCTAGGTCACATTTTTGTAAAATGAAAATGTCCTCAGATTAAAAAAAGACTTAAGAACTCCAAAGTGCAAGTCTGACAGTTGGAGATAAATGCATCCAGTTCCAGCAGAACTGACCAAAGCAGGTTCAGTACTCAAATGTATTTTTCTGTCCACACATCTCCACTGTTATTTTATACCTAAAGAGGGTAAATATTTTTTAAAAATATGAATGCTTTGTTAATATGTTTCATTTTCTCCTTTTGTGTTTTCCTGCTTATTTTTCCTTCATTTTTTCTGAATCTCTTTTTCTACCTGTACTTACAGAAACTCATATGAACGCTCATTAGGTGCAGGCAAGTACAGAGTAATAGCATCCAGTAATGGCTGCACCCCTTTGTTCTTCAGCGCACTGCCACAGAGGACAGGGACAGCCTTCTGAGCTAGCGTGATTCTGCGGATAGCAGACTGCAACTGCAAAAGAATTATTTTCTGTTAATACATGATCTACAATTTAGTTGCACTCCAGCTCTTAGATACTGCTAACTAATCTCCAAAAAGCTAAGAAGTATGTTTGTAAATACAACATCACTCATCCAAAATCCTTTCACTGCTTTTAGCAAGCTCCAAAACATAAACCCAAACATTTAGATGCTAAAACAGACAGAAGGCACTGGTTTTAAGATTTCTAAACATTTCACACAAATCTGCTGCTGTTCTTGTTATAACAGTCCTTTGAATTCAGTATGTTGTAACTCACTGCTTTCAACATGCAGTGTCTAAAGATCCAACCATTTCAAAGTAGCTGAGATGCTATTTTTGTTAGTGAGAATCAGCAGCTCAGTCACAAACTGCACTGAGTCTACCTGAAAGTTCCATTCCGCTTTCCCTAAACTCTTTTGTAGCAGTCTAACTTAAAAAAAAAAAAAAAAAGAAAACCCCACCTTCCTGAATAAATGTACCCAACTTTTAAAACAATGCCTATCATGGGTAAGAATCATAGCATATCTTTATAAAATTCCTACTAACTCTGAATATATTGTTCTAAATTCCCACTACTGTTAATTTACTGCATAAGATGATGAAAAATCTGCAAAATAATAATTTTACTGAATTTTACTGATTTTTACTCATTTTACTGAAAAATCTGCAAAATAATAATTTGCATGTGTCAAAGGAAGAATAACCCAAACCCTTGCAATAAGAGCTAGTAAACACTTGTAAATGTAAAAAATACCTTGTCAGCTGGTATTAAGTCAAAATTTTCACTATTTTCTCCTAGAACCAGTTCAGCAAATTCATCATCCAGATCTGCAACCTTCAACAGAATAGTTCCTTATTATTTGGCATACAGCAGTTTCACAGAAAAGCTACATATCTTACTTACTTAGAATATATAGCTAAACAGAGCAGAAACAAAGCCTTTAAAGACATCAGCAATTATAAATTCAGATCATATAAAATTAGGGAAATTAAGGCTTCAAGAAAGGATGGGGGGGAAAACCCACTTAAAAAGCTGCTGTCAAGCAAATCAATGGGAGAGAGAATGCTTGTACTTCTCCATGAAATGGGAAAAAACCTTCAGCCATACAGCAACAGCCACGAAGGGTTTAACTGATGTACTTCAGTCCTGCAAACACAGGGAAGCCTGAAGTAAGCAGCAAGCAACCTTTACAAGCCAACAGATACTGAGCTGGGAAAAACAGATAAGCATCGTGGCATTTTGGCCTTCTTCATGTAGGTTTGTAGGTCCAAGAGCATGTCTCTGTTTTCAAAATTGTACCAGAAAGCCGTGACCGCCATGCTGGTGCTTTCCTTGTGTACCTCTGAGGAGAATCTGGTTCTGTTTTCCCTGAAGCAGGGAAAACATTTGTTTTCCATTGTTAGTTGACATATAACTTAACTCCTTAAACATCTAACATAAATCCCTGCACTGTCACAGACTCAGGACACCCAAGCACAAGAAAGCACTTTGCCCTCTTTATTGGCCAATTGGCCAAATTCTGAAATAAACCCTTGATAAGCAATTAGAAGTCTTATCAAGTTAATAGTTAAAACATGAGAGATAAAGGAAATAGTTCATTTAATTAAATGAAAGTAACATGTGCAAAATGGCCAGTATTCAAAATGCTACATTTTACAGGGTTTTGATAAGGAATATTAACAGCACAGAAAGCATTTTGAAAAATATTTTACAAACACAAGGTTATCTCAATTATCATAATACTGGTCCACCCCTTCCTCCTTCAGGAAGGGCCCAGAAAACAAAGGGGAAAAAACCAACACTGTTCTTACAAACCTTTCTATCTGACAACATATTCTTAAGAAAAAAGGCTGGGTATTAACACTGCCATTTTAAAACCTACTAAGTTTGAAAACCAGATTGTGTATGTATTCTACTGAACTTAGAGCATTATAAAATAGATCTCTCCAATTTCAAAGGAAATTGAGAGCTACCATCATCTGTTTATGCACTTGCACTATGTCATTCAAAGCTGGAAGGCAGCCCTTCCAACAAAAAGGATCAGTTTATTATTGGATTGAGCTGCTTCTGACACAGCATTTTGAACAGGCTGCAACATCCCACTCAGCTTTTAGCTGTCACATCAGAAAAGTATGGATACTCTGCAGGTTTCAAGTCACATCTGTCATGCTTCATGTGAATGTACCAAATATATTTTGGCATCTAAGACAGTATAAACACTGTCTGCTTTTAGCTTCCCCAGCACAAAAGAGACTGACAAATTGCAGGAACTCCATTGGAAAACCACTAATGGGGCTGCAGCATGGCTGGAGACCCAGAGAGATGGGTTTGTCTGGCTTGGAGAAGCTAAAGCAGGATGCAAATACTGTCTCTTGCTATTTGAACTAGTGGTAGTGGCTCTGCTTCAGGGAAAACAGAACCAGATTCTCCTCAGAGGTACACAAGGAAAGCACCAGCATGGCGGTCTCAGCTTGCACCACAGTAAAATCCCACTGGACATAAGGATATTATGGTCAAGCACTGGGACAGGCTGCCTACACAGAATCATCATCCTTTGACTTGAAAACTCAAATGAACAAGCCTGAACAAGTCAACCTAATGCTTTAAGCAGATCATTTAACCAGACACCTCCACAGGCCTTTCAGCCTATTTTTCCTACTGCTCTGAGTAATGGTTTTAAATATATTATGTATTTACTTTAGAACTTTACTTGTTCTATTAAGGTATTTCTTGCATCCTGGACTTCTTGGAACAGGTTTGGATCATCAGTCTCTAGCAGCAGCTTTCGCTCAAAATTTTTTCCATCATCCATATCAGAAGTGGGTTTCCAAATTATTTGCTCCTTAGTCACAACATCAACCAGTCCTCTGAAAGTCTTGGCTTCCCCAATAGGCAACTGCAAATCAAGCAGAGACTTTAGACAGATGCAAAAAAACTAAGAAAGCAGTTCCATTCAAAAGAAATGAAACAAGCATTTAATTTCTAAGCTTACCTGTAACAGTAAAGGTTTTGTCTTCAACTTTTGTTTGATGCTCTCAACAGCATATGTAAAACTACAGAAAAAGAAAAGATACTAAGTTAAACAAAACGTTATATTAGTATGATAGGCTCACAACTCCCTATTTACTGCAAAAATTACTCCTAGAATTATACAAAAAATATGCATTTCCATAACCAAAGAAGTATATATTATTAACATATGTATTAACATAATTGGGTTGCTCTCTGCTTAACGGAAAATGCTAGACATTCTCTTATAAGCTTCTTAACAATGGTTAAAATAACTGCCTGAATACCTTGCCCTGTTCTTGTCCATCTTGTTTAAAAAGCAAATTCGTGGTATCTGATGTTTGTCTGCTTGTCTCCAGACTGTCAGAGTTTGTGCCTAAAGCAAGACACAAAATGGAAAGATTAGTGTCAACAGCTGAGCTGCTCCCCAACACCACAGAAGGTCTGAGTTCAGAGTACAGAAGGGAACTGTGCTGTTTATTGTGACAAACCCATATCTAGCATCACAGATGAACTCTACAAGCAGCTTTGTCTTATCTTGTCTCTCAGCTGTTGTCTTTTCCTTTCCTGCACTAAGGGCATGCAGGCATAGTGGCAAGGAAATGTGAAGAGAAACTAAGCATTATGGGGGGCATATATGGGGAAAACTGTAAGGTAGTGACTTTATGGTTTATTGCCAAATTACTTAGGCACACACAGACAAGCATTTCTGTGGCTACACATACAACAGTAAAAACTACTGTGGTTTTAACAGCAACGTGTGCACTGCTGAGCCATTTATCGTATGTATTTTTATTTGAAAATTAAAGCAAGTATATAGAAAAATCAGTTCAGATTCAGTAATAGCCTCTTACCACTACATGGAATAATGCAAGAATTTGCTACAGAGTTTTAGGAAAAAACACACAGATCTAGTTGTTTTGTTTTTGAGGGTGGAGGCTATTACTCAGTTCAGGTTCATATTTAATAGCACCTAAATATTTTCCAGTAAGTTTCCAGCAAGTTAAATAATGTGACTTACAGTGATTAAGAAGTCACTCATCCCTCACCCAGGAAAAACATATGTTCCATGCAAGAGGGATTTCACATGTAACTTTTCTACAGGATTGAACTACTGAAACATCTCATGCTATAAAAAGTCCAATTCTAGCTTGCCTCCACCTTTTATGCACTCTGTTAAAAAGGCCACTGGAAAAGGAGAAAACCTGCCTGAAAATTATCTATTTTCTATGTGAAAATGAGAAATTGACCTATATTAGTTTCATTCAATTTGTCGAGCTAGTCAGAAGCATTCACCTCAATCAACATTTGTAAAAGACAGCAAAAAAACAACAAAACCACCCCAAACTTATAATGGTAATCACACTAACTTGCTGCTTATTACCATGGAAATTCCAGTGCACTACAGGATTTAAAATTAAATGCTCAGCTTCCTGAAGCTGAATTTTTATAAAAGCACTGAGAGAGAGAATACAGAGAAAAATCTCTGTACATTATTTCAGCCTGATTAAAGTGATTAAACACTGTGGGAAAATAACTGAGTGACTGGAGGTAAAATCAGAGAAAACTGGGAAGGCACAATCAACCTCTAGCAGGATTTTTAACTACAGGGTGAGATGCAGTTGCTATTCTCCAAATAGGATGTGGTCAGCATGCCCAATTTCCCACACACAATATGTGCTGAGCAGAGTGAAGACACTGCAGCGTCTAGGTTTTGTTTAAATCCTTGCAAGAGGGGGAACTCAGTGGTACCTTGTAGCTGGTAAGCCACATAGCAGCTGTCAACTAAGGGAGAAAAAACAAGATTTCTTGCTGTTGAACCAGGAACCATAGCAAGATCACAGACATATACCTCCATCTTAAAGGCGACCTTAGATGTAAAACTGATATTACCCAGCTAGAAGGTACAACCACCCCCACTGAACATGATGCATGACTACAGTCACTGAAGCTCCACCTAAACACAAAAATAGCACTGAAGTAAATCAAAAACGGGGAGAAGTTAGACGCCTGGGAAGTTCTGGGATCAGACCACAGGCTGAACTTCCCTTCACTCCCACAGCGACATCTACTGGGTAAGAACTGTACTCTATCCATGCTGAATGACTGCCTCAGGCTAGCTTTGGTTAGGGATTAGAGCTGGTTAGCATATTGCTTTGCAGACAAATGCTATCACCAAAAGTCTTTAAACCTTAACCTGTCATAGTTTTCAATTACATTAATGAGAAGTGCTATTCCATAAACTGTTAAGTCTGAGTCCTTTAAGGCTGTAACAGTTGCTAGCAGCAGGTAACATACTGCACTGTGAAGGCCCAGGGTCTCTCTTAACGTGTTGGCATGTCTCTCTGGATCTTTCCTGAGGCACCAACAGATCAATTAAGGACCCCTTAGGAGGGTCTCTTTCGGTTTGCATATGACCCTAAACAAGGTAGTTGAACCACGCTCTGATCCAGTGGACTGTTGGTGAAGGGTCCCTGGGTCCCCATAATGGAACACTGACAGAGTGAACTGGGCACAAGGATTTCATCTTTCCTGGGGAACTGAAAGATTAATCAAACACAAAGGGTTTGAGAAAATCTCTGCCCTTTACCACGACAGATTGCACACACACACACACACACACAAAAAAAATCTAAGTTGATTTTACCTCAACACCAGCTGAAGCATCAAATACCGCTACTGCTCCATCCAGGACCCTCAAACAACGCTCAACTTCCACTGTAAAGTCCACATGGCCTAAAAAACCATCTTCCTTTTATACCATCATAATTCAAACAGGCACCATCAATAGGTCATTACACATTTAAACAATTTTCTTTTCTTTCAAATAAAGTCAAAACAACTTTTTCTTTACTTGCAGGGAAATAAACCTATCAGTCTTTGAAATAAACAAGATTATTATAATGCAATCCTAGAACTGAGAACAATTTAATGTGGAAACATGAGGTCACTTTATATAAGCTAGATTTGGAATCATCAAGCAATAATTATCCAAAGCTGAACAGAGCTTAGTGTAGGCATTTTTATTGATGCAATTAAACCAATTAAATTTTGCACCGCATTTAAGACAAAGATAATCTGAGACACTCCATTTCACCCTCTCTCCCTTAATAATATGAGTGCAACTAAAGAACAGTACCTGGGGTGTCAATCAGATTGATTCTGTAGTCTTTCCAATCAAATGTAACAGCAGCAGACTGAATGGTAATACCACGTTCTCGCTCTTGTGCCATAAAATCTGTCACCGTGTCTCCATCATCAACATCTGCAAACAGAAGCCAGGATTGGGTAGGTAATCAATTCAAAATCTGAAATTGTCTTTGAATACAGATGTCAAGAGAGAGTTGGAAATAGCCCCTTTTACATACATATGTGTAAGCTATGAAAATTAGCCTTTTTGAAAACATTACAATGCCAGGTTATTTCCTAGGAATAAATGTCCTACAAGTGAAAGACAAGCAATTCCAACAAGCTTTTTGCTGTTCTTAATCCCAGTAACACCATGAGCATCTCAAAAACTAAACAAAGTCCAAAATCATGAACAATCTACAACTTCAAAAAACCTGGCTGCACTCATTGTATGGAATGTGACTGACATTTTGAAATTTGGTAATCAAAAGGTAATTAAATCAAAAGTAAAGTATAAGCAAACAAACCACCAAGTAAGAGGTTGGGCTTGGCTTACTTTTTAATAACAAGAGAAGCAGTTCACATTTTTAAATTAGCAGGATCCCAAGTTCAATTGCTTCGCAAGCCGAACATCTTCTATCAGTCATATACAGTTGAGAACAAGGTATAAAACTTAAAATATCACAATGAAACACAGAGGCTGCTGTGACCATTTCAATCTTGAAGAATTCTATTAAACTTGCTGTAGCAAAGAAGTTGTTCTGTGTCATGGCTTTCAAAAAAATTTTTATTTTTTCTTACTCTGCCCTCTTCACAGGTCAAAAGAGAACTCAACAAACTACTTTACCAGAATGGCTAATTAGCAACCAGCAAAATAAGGACATTCTCCAATTAAATGTTAAACAAAACATAACATGCTGAAAGTAAAAGAAAAATATCAACCTATGATATCTGAAAGCAAAACTGCCTTAGTGCAATAAAGATCATGCATTAAAATTCAATTAAACTGCAGCACAACTTTGGAACAACTACCTCCTACATGAGGTATTCCACCAGCAACTGTACTGCATGTAATTGTACACTATTAAATCTCTTAAACCTACTGAAATACAAAAAGCATTTCTAACCTCCAAGTGTTCTTATATATCCAGAATAATACAGCATTCTCTCTGTTGTTGTAGTTTTGCCTGCATCAATGTGGGCCATAATGCCAATGTTTCGGATTCTGCATAAAGCGAAAACATTGCAGTTAGTGCAGTAATTTTTTTAAGCCTGTGATAATTCTTATTTGCATAGTTAATATTCCCCAAGAACAGCACACCAGATTAATAGCAATGTTTCTGAAAACACTGAAAAATGTCAGTATTGACATGATTTTCTTCAAATCAATAGTACTGAACAGTGTTGCAACAGATTTCCAAGCTCCACTTCATGGAAGGCCCCTTCTTGGGCTCATGCTCACCCATCTGTCCTCCCAACAAACAGAAACAGCCCCTCCCCTCTCTTGCCCATCCCAATCCCGGACACCTGATGCTCTAAACAACCTACTGCATAAACACACACCCTTTATACCCCAAATACAGCACACCCAAGTTCCTATGAAGCTATCCTTGATCCAGTTCAGCGTCTTCATTCCTGAAGTACCTCACCAGTAGCTTCCAGAACTGCTTTGCTTGCTTTGCACAGCACAGGCTTGTGATCAGCCCCCACGTTCACCATTAGTGCTGGCTTGACCTCACCCCCAGGTACACACTACCCTTCCAAGGGAACTTCAGCCCTAAGGCACTTCTTTGGCAGCTTAGCCCCTAATTACCTTGCCCTCATCAAACGTGCCATGAAAACAAAGCACACAGCCCTGCCCACCGCAGCAGTTTAGTTGCCAAGACATCCTTCCCGCTTCTTCACCTTCCAGCAATACCACGGATTTGGAGCTTCCCTAACAGCCTGGGTTTGGTTATGATGGTGCAAGCAAGGGACAACACAAGACCTCTGTGCCACCAGCAAGCATTCTCTATTGAAATGTCACAAGGGTAAAGGTAAGCAAGCACTAACTTTATATTAAACATGCACATCAGACAGGCATGGCAACAACCTACAATTTCTTTATCACATCAACTGCTCTGACTGAAGTTACATCCCAACAATAAACTAGCTTGATATACCTGGATATATGAGGATTAATGACAGAATGCAGAGACTTAACATCTCCTGGAAACAAAAAAAAAAAAGAAAAATAAATAAAACAACTTTTCAGAGAGAACCCAATGCAGAAATATATTTAAGAATTATAAAAACCTTATTTAAAAAAAAAGATTTAGAGCCACAAGTCATGACAATCTGTAATCTCTACCACCTCAGATTTAAATTTTCAAAGATATTAATTTAGTGATAAATAAATCTCTCCCCACCTCAAAAAAAAAAAAAAAGAGAAATGCTTGAGAAAACAGCTGTAATTCAGAAAGAACAGAAAAAAGGCAACATAGGAACGTATCACCATCTTACTCTGCAGAAGCATACCTCAGTTCAAGACAACTGTAATAAGGACATTCATCTGAACTGGTGATTGGATAATCAATTTGAAAAGTTATTTCTTCTTTAAGACTTAAAGCTGTACAGCATAATTCTCAGGGATAAAAGCAAGCTGACCTGTGTTGAGAAAATATGGGACTGGGAAGTTTTAAAAGCTATTTTCTTGCAATATACATTCTTTCTCACACAGCTTAGCTAGAAAATAAGTTGTCAAGGTAATTTTTTACGAAACTAACCCAAATTCAGTTATTTAAGCTATGAAGTTGTGTTTCAGGAAAAAAGTAGTATAGTTCATCTTTGATAGGCCACACAGAATTCAAAAATATTTAAGCTAACATTCCTTCACCACCTACAGACCATCTGTCTCATCAGAGACACATTGAAGCAGCATCTTACAGGAACCCTTAATGAGGGGTTCCAGCACACTTCACTGGACCTGACTTCTTATAACACGTACCTTTGCTTACTATTGTTTTCTAAAGGCTTTATACTGTGAATCTACTGAGAAAAGAGCAGCAACACAAAACTCTTCAGTCCTTGAGCCATCTAAGTGCTCTATGTATGTTTCATGCATTGAATTTGACAAAGAATGACCAAAAGAATACAATAAAACAGAAAGTGTACAGAAATAGAAAGAATGTTTTATTTTCATTCACTTTTAAATTAATCCTTACTATAAAGAATACACTATAAACTTATACCTGGTGGAGAACTGTAGTTTCTCAGACTGCAGTTTTGCTGTGTCACACCTGTGACTCTCATTTTTGTATTTCTGAAATACATGTACTTGGAAAAAAAAAAAAGAATCATATAGAATGTTTATTGTTATCACTACCTACTTTGCAGCCACATTTTTGGCCGCTGCAGAAAAATAAACAAAAAAAAAATCTACAGGAACAGATATTGTTGCTACATATTTATATAAGGTCAAAACACCAACTATTTAAAAGCAGATGCTTGAAGCTGATGTTCACATTGAGGTTTAAACCAAAGTTGATCCAAATAATATTTGGAGTATTCAGTAAAAATTTATGGCAGCATCAAAATATTTTTTCAATAGCCAAAACCTTTTAAATACATCTAATTACCTGTGTAAATAATTTAACAATAACAAGAGTTAGGCGGTCAAAAATGTACATAAAATTTACAAACTCAATTCCCAATTCTGAAGTCCCATTCCAACATGAAAGTATGCATTGTCCAGAGGCCAACGTTAAAAACAAAAAAAACCCAAACAAAAACCAACACCCCAATTAAAAAAAGCTTACTCAGAATAACACAAGTGTTTCCCTTGCTCACAGAGGAAGTATCAAAACTGGGGGAAAGCTTACCTTATTGCACAAACTTGATGACTTCAATGCATTCACTGAAAATGTCCCCATAATTCTCAACATTCTGCCTCTCGTCTCTAAAGCTGTTCCCTGGCAAGGTAAGTAAACATTGTACAAAATGTTTATGACAGGAAATAGGCTAACCATGTTCTTTTGACATAACTCAATCACAAAACTTCATTCTTTTTCATGGGAAATCAGGTTAATATTTTTCAGGTTATTGCTTTGCAATTTAAATCAGTGTCAGATCTGTAATAATATTATTAAGCCTTAACAATGCAGCATAAATGCATGCCCACAAACATAATATATTTCTCCACGAAACATTAAAGCAGAATAATGAAAATTAGAGTTTACACTCACTCTCAGATAAGCTCCAGAGCACCGATTACTGGTGAGCAAAGTGCAAATAGTTTTCTAGTCCTGAAGAACGAAGGATGGCAGGGCAAAGTACCTATTTAGGTCAGACACAATAGAAAATATTAAGTACTATAACCTTTTAAGCATAGGTAAAAACCATTGCAACAAATAGTCCAAGTGCAGCAGCGTCAAAGGCATTCCTAGATGGCTGCTGGTTATTTGAGGAGACATCACTGTCCAGTGAAGCTACCTGCTTCGTAGTAGTTTCACAATGAAGAGTAAGCGGCTCAGGGCACACGCTCACCTCCATTCCCTCATCTTGCGAGCCGCACACGTCTCCCGGCGGTGCCGGAGCAGTCCGCTGACCGGGGGAGCGGGAAGGGCGCGCCGCCTTCACGCTGCCCGTGACGAGTCCCCAAGCCGAGCACAGCCGAGTCCCGACAGAAGCCGATCCCCGGAGGCTTTCCGCAAAGCGACACCGCCTTCCTCGCCGCGTTCCAAACCCCCGGGGCGTTCCGTGCGCCGGCTCCGGGTCACCTTCTGCTCCCGGACCTCCCCCTCGGCCCAGCCGGGACCGCGCGGGACCTGCCCCTGTCAGCACTGCCGCCGGAAGGCAACGTGCTTCTCCCTTCCCCCGCTACCTCACCTCCCTCCCGCGTTCCGCTCTCCCTCCACAACCTGGCAGACCAGGCAGCAAAAGCGCCTCTTGGGCCTCTCCCGCTCCGTTTCTACCCCTCTTCCTGTCCTCGTCAAGCCCGGCGCGGAGCCCTCGGGGGCGCGGACCGCTGCCTCTCCGCCGGGAGGAACCAAAGAGGCGCGGGGCAGAGTTGCCATTCGGGCCACTTCCAAAGGCCCGCCCTTTCCGCCGCGGAGGAGGCCGCGGGGCTGCCGACATGGTGGGAGCCGGGGCTGTGGGATACGGCAGCCGGGGGCGCGGGACGCGGGGTTGGGGCGGCGGGATGCAAACGGCTGTGCAGGGGAGGGACGGGGAGGCTGCGGGAGGCCGGGTGGGCCCCGCAGTGAACGTACCGCCGGTCGGGCCGCCGCCTCCCCGCGTGTGGCGGAGGAGCCGTCACCGGCCCGTGGGCGCCCGTGCTCGCTGACCGCGCTGCCTGTGTGCCCACAGCCGCAGAACGAGCACATCGAGCTCCACCGCAAGCGCTATGGCTACCGGCTGGACTACCACGAGAAGCGGAGGAAGAAGGAGGGCCGGGAGGCGCACGAGCGGTCCCGCAAGGCCAAGAAGATGATCGGGCTGAAGGCAAAGCTGTACCATAAGCAGCGGCATGCCGAGAAGATACAGATGAAAAAGACGTGAGTGTCCGCCTCCTCTCTGATACCATCCCGTCATCTTGACGCTTGAAAGATGAGATGAGGAGTTGATATTGTTGCAAAAAGCTCACTGTTGCTTGAGCCACATGTTATGGTCTTAAATAGCGATCAGGCTGTAGAAGGAAGGGGGCTTTGCCACAGCAAACACATTTCAGAGTCCCTCTCTTTTAAATGAATGTTAACAATTCTGCTGCTAGAAGTACTTCCTCAGACAAGTGTTGATGAGCAGTAACCGTGACTAATGTAATCGTGACAAAAAAGTGAATGCAGTTCTTTGGAGCTTTTATGTCAGCTGCTGTGTTAGTGTAGCAAGAGGCAGTATTTTTTAATGGTTAATAGGAAATATACAGTAGCATACAAAGTATTTAAGCAGAAGGTGAGGCTGTCTTCAAGGATAAACAGCAGTGTCAAGCAGAGACAATAAAATAATTTTTCTGTAAATATTTTCTGTTATCAAGAACTTGAAATCAAAGCTGTTAATGATGCCTGAAAACTGGGCAAGAACACAGTACTCCATAGCATAAGACCTATAGAGCAGGTATTTGTTTATTCAATGCTGGGAGTGAGTGGGATAGCTGCACCACAAACTCATTTGTCCGTTCTTTCCACAGCACTAGCTTTTTTACTTTTCTTACTTAATTGCACGTTATATTTTCCTAGCCTTAATGTTGCAACATATTTTTTAATTACGTGATTATGTTAGCTCTTGTAGCACATGCATGGTTTCCACACGAGGTGGTCATCATCCTCCTGGTGGTTTTTTCTGATGAAGGCTCGTAAGTCTTCCTCAGGCCTGAACTTTTCACCCCTGGTTCCTGCAGATGCTCTGCAAGATTGTCTGCTCTAGTAGCCAGTGGTTAGCTTTTTGCAGTTAGCTTGTTCTGCTAAATTTGTAGGTTATTAAAATGTGCATCATTCACATACCCTCTTACAAAGTAACTACTTCTTTCTGCGTAGCTCCAGCTTTTTGCATAGTTCAAGCATTATCTTGTTGCCTAGGCATCATTAAGAGTCTCATTAGTTGCTAATGAACTTCATACCTATCCACCATGTAGTTTTTGCTGGTTTCAAAGTGTAGATAGCTGTTTTCCTCTGCTACTTTTAAAGATAATGGGTTTATTAACCCGTTACTAGTTTATGGGTCTTTTCTTCCCCCCAGTAAACAACCTCAAAATTAACAAAACTTTGCTCCTCTTACAAACACACATTCCTCATATACATAAGCATTGCCATCAAATCTCAGAAGAGGAATAGAATGGGGTTTTTTTGTCAGCAGAGAGGAAGGCTACCTTCTCTCAAAGTGCTTGGCTGTTTGCTTTGGGTCACACAGAAATTCCTTAATGAGGTGCATGTCTTTCTTGTGTTCCTGTCCTGGTAGAAAGTGACAGGATTAAGTGAAATTAGTAGTTTACCTTGAAAATTATTTAGTACTAATTCCTTAAATATAAATACATAGTACTCTACAAATACCTCTTCAAGAAAAATTTGTGCAGGCACAGGCTAAGTTAAAATTATATATCTAAAAATAAGTCTTTTTTCTTGTGCTGTTAATATTGGTTTTCTTTCTTTGCAGCATTAAAATGCATGAGAAGAGAAATACAAAACAGAAGAGTGATGAAAAAACACCCAAAGGAGCTGTACCAGCATACCTGCTGGACAGAGAGGGCCAGTCCCGGGCTAAGGTCCTCTCTAACATGATCAAACAAAAAAGAAAAGAAAAAGCTGTAAGTAAATGTATCAAAGTTCAGATACATAAAATTACATGTAACAATGACCACTTTATATTGCTGATGCTAAGGTTACAGCCTTCAAGCAAAGACTATTTAAAACATGAAACCTTGAGTAACTTAGGACAATGTGAGCATATGCAGTATCTTGATTTTTGGAACTTTCAAGTGCTAATTAAAATAAGTGGCTATGAGTTGCATAACAACTATGGTCTACCCATTTGCTTTCCAGAAATTTGATTTTATTCTTTGGTTTTTCCCCTTCCGTTTAAATATGTGACAGGTAAGATTATTGACTTTTTTGTTTTGTTTTGTTTTACCCTCCTTCCAGGGAAAGTGGGAGGTTCCTGTGCCGAAGGTTCGTGCACAAGGAGAAACAGAAGTTTTAAAGGTGATTCGTACAGGAAAGAGAAAGAAGAAGGCATGGAAGAGGATGGTTACAAAAGTTTGTTTTGTTGGAGATGGCTTTACTAGGAAGCCTCCTAAGTACGAGCGATTCATTCGACCAATGGTAATGTTTTAGAGCCTTAAAGAACATTTAAGTAATAATTATTTTGATTTACTGCTTTGATTATCTGTGTTAAAGAAATTTTCTTGTATGATTATGAGCTTGATCATTACTCATGTAGAACATTCCTTTTCCCTTCCTTCTCAAAATATAATAGCACAGGGGTGGGGAAATGCCTCTACAGTCCCAGTGTATGTTGAAATTCCTGCTTTTATTCCTATAACTCAGATGATGCCAGTAAGTTAAAGCTACGAGCTTTTGAATTATCATGGGAAAATCTTTATCAAAAGTACCTCTATGAAGTGCAGGTCACTAGATAAAAAGTAGGAGATGGGTATTTCATACTTTGCCATACTTCTTCGTGGAATAGAAATTGTCCAAGGTAACAAGTATTATTGTTGGGCTACTACAACAATAGTAGTTTACATAGTAATTTACATCCTGAAAACATACATGGAAAGCTTTATCTTTTCATTAACAGATTTTAAAATAAGTCTGTCAAGGCAGATAGCATTCTGTATTCTAGGTTGTTTCATTCTTCCTAGTCTCTCTCAGCATATAAAGATGAGGACATAATTCCCAAAGTGTTCAACTAGATCAGTTGTGAGAGTTTAAAGCAAATATTAACTCATTCTAATGCTTTTTATGCAACAGGGCTTACGTTTCAAGAAGGCACATGTGACACACCCTGAACTTAAAGCTACTTTTTGCCTACCTATCCTTGGTGTAAAAAAGAATCCGTCATCTCCTTTGTATACACAGCTGGGAGTAATTACTAAGGGTACTGTCATTGAGGTGAATGTGAGTGAACTTGGCCTTGTGACACAAGGGGGCAAAGTTATCTGGGGTAAGTAAATTTAACTAGTTATACTGCAGAACTACTTCTTAAAGTTTTTCATCTTCATTGCATTGTGTATTGTCAAGACCACCTTGTCTAGTCATAATTGATTCATTGTTAAAAGTTAGGTTTGGGCTGTAGCAGAAGCAACTAATAGCAACTCTAAAAATACAAGCTTTAAGTGTTAATCTTAGGCTTTCCATTCACACTTGCAAAATCAAATTAGATAAAGTTCAGAACAAAGACTAAGCTTGCTTGCTTGTGTGTCATATTGAGCAACGCCACAAATCTGTAACCATGTGAACCACGACAAATGAATTAAATTTGCAGGACCTATGTAGGAGCCTCATTAGCAGGTTCTGCACCGGGGATGGGGCAGCCATGGTTGTATGTATGGACTGGGGAACAGTAAGGCTGCAAAGCAGTGCCCTGGAAAGGAACCTGGAGGCCTCGTTGATGGCAAGTTGAACATGGTCAGCAGTGCCCTGGCAGTCAGCAGGGCCAGCAGTGTCTTGGGGGCATCAGGGACAGCATCAACAGCCAGGCAAGGCAGGGGATTGTCCTGCTCTGCTCTGCTCTGCACTGGGACGGCCTCACCTCAAGTGCTGGGGGCAGTTCTGAGTGCCACAGTATAAGACACAAAACTATTGGAGAGTGTCCAAAGGAGTGCCACAAAGATGGTGCAGGGTCTGGAGGGGAAGCTGTTTGAGGAGAGGCTGAGATCATTTGGTTTGTTCAGCCTGGAGCAGAGGAGACTGAGGGGAGATGTCACTGTGGTCTTCACCGTCCTCACAAGGGGAAGTTGAGGGGCAGGTCCTGATCTCTTCACTCTCATGACCAGTGACAGGACTTGAGGTAACAGCACAAAGCTGAGTCAAGGGACATTTATGTTGGTATCAGGGAAAAGTTTCTTCACCTTAGCTGTGGCTGAGCAGTGGAACAGGCTCCCCAGGGAAGTGATCACAGCACCAAGCCTGAGAGATTTCAGGAGGCATTTGAATAATGCTTTCAGGCACATGAAATTGCTATTATTGAAATGTAATTCTTTGGGGGGTGTCCTGTGCACGGCCAGAAGTTGGACTCAATGATCCTGATGGATCCCTTCCAACTTAGCATATTCTGTGATTCTGTGATCTTCATAGGATCAGACTGACTTAATTTAACAGACGAGTTCACTTAAACAGTAGGAAACCTAAGATTTTTTTTTAA